ACACACACACACACACACACACACACACACACACACACACACACACACACACACACACACACACACACACACACACATACACACACGGAAAAATCTTAAAGGTTCTTATAACGGAGGATTTCACTTTCATCTAGACCCTGAATACAAAGCTTGAACCCCTAACCAATCAGAGAAACCCGAAGAAAGTGTCTGTGGGAAGGTTCTCTGTAGAACACAAGGGAAACCCTGTCATAACGTTCTAGCATCAGAGAGTTTCGCTTTCAACACATTTCTCAAGAAGAACCTGTTTATGAACCTAGAACCATTATCCAAAGAACCCTTGAGAGACCTGCTGTTTTACACAGAACCTCTACACAGAACCTTACATTACAGAATGCTGCTTTCATTTAAATGTCCAAGAAGAACTTGTGTCCAAAAGAAAGAACTCTTGAGAACCCCACTGTTATAGGGTTCTACACAGAACTCTACAATGAAGAGCACAGAACAGAGGTTCTACATAGAACGTTACACCATAGAGTTTTATTTTCATTACAGTTTCCAAGTAAAACCTGTGATATGGAGCTAGAACCTCTACCATCCAAAGAACCTTTGAGAAACCCTGAGTTCCCTAAGTGTGTGCAATGCAGAGCTATAACTCACACACACACACACACACACACCCCCACAGACACCCACACACGTATATACAGGCGCGAGCCATATGTCTGTCATATCTGTGCGCAAGATAAGAGAAGAAGAGCATGCAGCTACAGGTCTCTGTGATTGTGTAAGTGTGTGTGTAAGTGTGTGTAAGTGTGTGTTACGCAATGAGTCGTTCCGATGTTTAAAAAAATCGTGAACCATTAAAACAATTTCTCCGGTGGTGCAAGCAAGCCGCAGTGCAGAAGCGCGAGATCATTTCTCCATCCTGTTCCGCCTGCACGCGCACTCTTTATGTGGCGACACTGCAGATGTGACATGGCGCGCGCTAATGATCCGGTGTGATTTGTTTCGGGGTCCTGAATTTAAATAATTAATTAAATCAATTTAATATCATTTTTCCATTCTGTGTGTCAGCTGTGTGTGTGTGTGTGTGTGTGTGTGTGTGTGTGTGTGTGTGTGTGTGTGTGTGACACACATATAACACGGGCAGCTCAAGCGCGCTCACGCATAGCGGTACTAAACCACTAACCCGCCCGGTCGAGTGCGCGCGCACACACACACACACACGCAAAACGCAAAATCACTAAAATAAAACCAATGCATGCACGAATGCGCGTTCTTGCGCGCGCATGCACATGCTATGAACGACCAAAGACGGCATTAAAACCGTCTCTCTCTCTCTCTCTCTCTCTCGCGCACACACACACACACGCGCGCGCGCACACACACACACACACACGGCAGAGCTCGCTCACCAGATGAAGTCGGTGCAGTGGCTGCAGAAGGTGGGCTGCTTGAAGAAGCGCGCGATGAACTTGTGGTCCTTCACTTCGTGCACGTTCTTCTGCCGCAGCGCGCCCTGTCGCGCGAAACCGCGCGCGCCCCCCTCATCACCGTCCGCTCCTGGGTCCGCCATGTCCTCCGGAATATTTACTTTAAAAAAAAAAAAAAAAAAAGAGAGGAAGAGAGAGAGAGAGAGAGAGACAGACCGGGATGTGATTCTCGATGCCACGAAAATCTCCCGTCGAAGGCGGCGCGCAGCTACGCTGCTCCGGAACGCGCTCCGCTTCCCGTTTGGGCGAAAGCTCCGCCCCTTCCCCCCTTCTCCTTCACTGTGGTTGGGTTTTAAAAAAAAAACCCGAAGCCACGCCCCTTTTTGTGTACGAAAACATCTGAAGAATGATGTATTTTTTAAAATGTGGATTTTACAGACGTGTCCGAGTTCAGGTACCAAAATGCGCAGTCCCGCACTAAATAGTGTGCTAAAATAGTGCACTGACTCCTGGGCCAACCTGCACACTTCCGCACTAGACAGTAGGTCAAAATCGTTCACTACCTAACAGATAAACAGCACACTTCCGCACTAGATAGTGTGCCACATTAGTGCACTGGATGGTGAGCAAACCGCATACTTCCACTTCCATAGTATCTCTCTATCTCTCTCTCTCTCTCTCTCTTTAAATAGTGCACTACCTAATGAACAAACCTGCATACTTCCACACTAGATAGTGTGTGCACTACTTATTGGGTTACTAGTGTATATTAGTGTACTACTGTACTAAATAGAATGGTACTGAAGGAATGTTAGTGCTTATAATGGTGAGATTATGTGGAACACAGCTTATTGCCCACCAGGTGGCGTAGTACTCTAGTTTTATTTAATCTCTCTCTCTCTCTCTCTCTCTGTAAAAATAGTGAAATACATCCGCAATAGACAGTGTGTAATGGGCAAATTTGCATACTTCCACACTAAATAGCATGCCAAAATAGTGCACTACATAATGGGCAAACGGTATAATTCTGCACTAGATTGTTGGATAAATTTGCATACTTCCATACTAGGCAGTATGTCAAATCAGTGCACTACTTAATGAGTACTTCCACACTACACAGTGTGCCAGAATAGTGCACTAGATGGGGCAAACCTGCATATGTCTACACTAGATAGTATGTCAAATCAGTGCACTACTTAATGGGTAAATACAGTACTTCCATACTAGACAGTGTGCCAGAATAGTGCACTATGTAATGGGTAAACTGCATACTTCTGCACTAGTGCACACATCAGGATAGTGCACTAGATGGTGAGCACACTGCATACTTCCATGCTAGGTAGTGTGTCAGAATAGTGCTGTTGATAGTGGAGATGGTGTTCACTCGGTTAGTTAACGTCACTGTTCAGAAATGCATTCCTCAAATATACAACATTGAAGACATGTAAAAAAAAAAAAAAAAAGAATTACTCCAGAGGTTTTTCACCAGCTGACTTATTTACTCACCATTTCCTCCATCACTGCTTTTACTTTTACTAGTGAATTATTAATGAATTAATCTTTCCACTAGTGCAATAAATGAGAGAGTGCAAATCTAACTATCAGGTAGAATCTACCACTGAGGAAATAACGAAAGAATTACTCATAAGGGGTATGTGTGTGTGTGTGTGTGTGTGTGTGTGTGTGTGTGTGTGTGGTATGTTCTCTATTTTATGAGGAAGCTGACAAATAAAAGGAAAGCCCCTAATGCAAACGATCCTTAAATGGATAAAACTTTTATTTATTGAAAGCAGATTTTTATCA